GTCAGTTAAGCATAGGATTCTTAATTTCGGCTCAGGTCATGACCTCACAGTTCATGAGTTCAAACTCCACATTGGGCTCTGTGCTGACAGCTCAGAGCCTGCTTGGGATTTTCTCATTGCCCCTCCCCTGCTCGCTCTCTCTCTCTCTCTCTCTCTCTCTCTCTCTCTCTGTGTCTCTCTGAAAAATAAATAAATAAACTAAAAAAAAAAAGACTTTTTTTTCTGGCTGATTCTGTCATCTTTTTTTGTTCTATGAAAGAAATTTCCAGAGCTCAAGTTTTCAGTGAGAATTATGAGTGGATACCCTAACCTGTCCATTTAGAGTTTCTCACAGGAAGCCTAATATGATCCGTGTCCTGTAAATGATATCCGTGTCCTGTCTGCATTCCTGGAAAGGGAATACAGGATATATCGCCTCCCAGGTCTCCTCAGAGGACAGTTACTGCTAGGCACACACTTCCTGCTACTTCTGTCTCTTCCCTGAGTGGATCCACCAACCAGAGTGCTATTCATGCTACAAAGTATTGTAACAACAGCAATTCCAAGAACATGTGGATCTGTCACCCTGGCACCTCACAGAATTTTGAACATTATTATCACCTTAGGTGTAGACTTTTAAATTGAGCATGCCTGGAATTCCACTTGATGTTGGCATTTCAGAGAAGCTTCAAGAAAAACTGCTCACGTGTCTAAGATTATCTGCTCTGGATGATGAAGGATTGACAGACTTTGGAGTGAGTTCTTGACACACTCTCACCATCTTGAAATAGAGATGATCACTCATCTTTCACACCTAAAAGCGCTCAGTGTAAGAGAAGGTTGTCTCGAGTGTCACTGGGTTAGTGGTGGAGAAATAATGGATGATATCTTGACTGATGGGAACAAGTCGAAGGCTGTTGACAGGTGTGTCGAGAATGGTTTGGGGGAAGATGAAAGAAGGATAGGAGAGAAGCAGAGCCGGGTCTTCAGCGTGGTCTGGGCTCATCCTGGCTGTGGAGCCAGCATCACTGCACAGAGGTCCTGTGGTTGCACGGGCTCTGATGCATCTCCAAGTGACAGAGCTAAGGGTCCTTCCCCCCGGGGGGAAGTTCGGAATGGAGACAACCACATTTAAATACTTAAATATAACAACATATTGTAAATGTGTACTAGTGGCTGGTTTTACACAAATCATTTTATTTATGTTTTTAAGTTTTTTTAATGTTTATTTGTTTTTAAGAGGGGTGGGGGACAGAAGATCCAAAGCAGGCTTAGTGATGACAGCAGAGAGCCCGATGCAAGGTTTGAACCCACAGACTGGGAGATCATGACCTGAGCCGAAGTCAGAGGCCCAACTGACTGAGCCACCCAAGTGCCCCCAAATCATTTTTATTTGTTCACACAGCAGCTCAAGGAGATGTTATTGGCCTTAATTTTCAGAGAGAGAAACTAAAACAAAGACATAAGTCTAAAATCGTGTGGTTATAAAGTATCATAATCAGAAAAGTCAGGGCTGCTGAATCCAAATTCACTTGTCTTTCCATTTTTCCAGAGTGGTTTCCCATCATTCTGTCACAAAAACTGAGGCTCAGTATTCTCATTCCAAGCCACCAAGAAGGGTTTTAAAAGGGCAGAGAGGGGCACCTGGGTGGCACAGTCAGTTAAGTGTCTGACTTCAACTCAGGTCACCATCTCACAGTTTGTGAGTTCCAGCCCCACGTCGGGCTCAGTGCTGACAGCTCAGAGCCTGGAGCCTGCTTCGGATTCTGTGTCTCCCTCTCTCTCTCTGCCCATCCTCTGCTCGTGCTCTGTCTCTGTCTCTCAAAAATAAATGTTAAAAAAAAAAATTAAAAGAGCAGAGAAGGGAGGTGGCGGATGGGCAGTATGGGTGAAGAGGAGTGAGAGGTACAGGTTTCTAGTTAGGGAATATAATCAATGGTATTGTAGTAGCCTTGTATGGTGACAGATAATAGCTACAGTTGTGAGTGCACCATAATTTATAGAATTGTCCAAACACCGTGTTGGACACCTGAAACTAATGTAACATTATGTGCCAACTCTACATCAATTACAAATAAATAAATAAATAAATAAATAAGTAAACAAACAGCAGAGAGTATAATAGTGCAATTTAGAAAGAGTTTCATTCAATAAAATCCCTGCTTACTGGTACTTAAAGGATTAACTCCTTGGCTATCAGCCAATTCAGTTATTTACCAAGGTTCATTTCCTGAGGAAATAGACAGCGGTGGTCTTACTGTAAATTCACTTGGAAAATAAACAGGGTAGTGTCCTCTGAGGTCATTCCTAGAAGTCATCCGTACTCCTTTTGTTATGTAGTAGAACACTCATTTGAAAATGTCCACATTTTCCTAAATCACCTTAGAGTTTTTTCAGGTCTGTCCATTATGGATCAGAAGCAGTACAATTAGCGCCCACAGCGACTGTCTGAATTGTTCACAGCAATTCCAAATATTGAAGGAAACAGTCCAGTAGGGTTAGCTATATTTGTCAGTGGCAGTTTATTGATATGATAATTCAAATGTTATAACAGGAATTAAGTACAGGTTAAGGTTACAGACCAAATGCTTCCCAGGAATAAGGAAAGATCTAGGCACTTAACGAATGACACAAGCTAACTTGAGTGAGATAAAGTTTCTTTGGGTATTTTTTAGTTCTGTGAAAGTTACATTTATGAATTTCAAGTCATATTTTTCTCTTGATTTTTTAAAACATGAAATAGAAAATATATATCTTAAGCATAGTTAACTTCAACTAAATGAATGTTTGAGAATGGCAATCAGACAAGTAATAATGATGCATGCATTCAACATGTGACAGTAAGAAAATGACTAAGACAATAAAAAGCTGGCCCAAATCATTGAATTTTGAAGAATGTTAAAAAAATCTAAAGGAAATGACTGAAATCAAATGTAAAATTAACATTTAATCTTATGAATTTCATCAATAAAAAATCTTTGTTTATTATCTGGACTACAGGCCCATTTTCCAGACTTCAGCCTTTGGACCTTTGGCTGAAGTCAAGATAGTAGAGCTGAATGCTCTACTATTTTATATTTTTATATTTATATTTTACTTTGTTATATTTTATTTTATATTTTTCTATAAAACTTAGGAAGCTAAGTTTCATACATTTTCTGAATATCCTCTTTTCTAAATCAGCTTTCCATAATGCCATACCTTTCAGGAATGTCATGTTCATTTTGTGTAATAGGAAACAAATTTTTATTTAAAAAAAGAAATCTCTGTAGCCCAGGATCCTGAAAATTGAGTTTGTTTGACTTCTATTGTGGCCCTTAAAAGCTGACTAGATTGGCCAATGAAACAAAATGAAGTAACTATCCCAACAGATTTAACTAGTAGCTATTTAAACATTTCATTAGTGAGCTGTTTTCCCTGAAAATTAACTGAATTCTTTTTTTGAAAACTCACAGATTGATAGGAGACACTTGGACTCCTTTCATTTCCTTTAAGAGCAGTTCTTAATAATATAATTGAAGTAATAATTATTTATATTTTTTATAATACATTCTTTACTTAATTTCTTCCAGCTGTGGTTTTCTCAGTTGTAAAGTAGAGACAACAGTAATTTCACCTTAAAGAATTGTGAAGATTACATGATCTAATGACAGTAACACAAGTATCAAGTATCAGCTTTACTAACATAGATCATTTGGACCTCTTTTTGTTATGGTTTAGCTTTTTCCCTTAGGCAAATTCTCCCTCCCAAAGACTACGTCTTATTCAAATGTCACTGTCATGGATGCACTGGCTGGATGGAAGGAAATAACAATATCCTCACCAATTTGACTAGTTGTGTTTAAGGAAATGCTGTTAGATACTAAGATCCCCTTAAATGATCAAATAGTTGTGTTTTAAAACTTAAATAGCATTTAAGTTTTCTAATGTTTTAATTAAAAGGATTAAAATTCTCAGTGGATTAAAGATTATTTCCATGGCAACTGATTTCTTTTTTTTTCCTTCAGCACATTAAACTATATTTCTGTAGTTAGTCTTTTAAAAGAAAATAAGCTCTTCCACCTCAGAACTACTTAAAATATCAAACATAGTACCTTATGATAAATTTTTAAAATCCAAGTCAGAAGAAGATGAAAAAGCAATAGTAAGAGAGTCCTCTACAAACAATGCAAATGTTGAACAAGACTGTGAGAACAAAAATCCAGTGGCTATTCATGCCGGACTTCGAAACGGGCTTGAAAAACACCATTCTGCTCCAGTTCAGTGAAGCTTTTGTTGAGTTATATCAGTGCAACTCTGTTTTTCAGATGGGGTAGGGAATAATTACCGACAGGATTTTTGTATGACACACCTGTAAAAGTCAAAATCAAGATGCACTTAAATTTATTCAGATAGACATCTCTTGAATTATTCATCTTTTCAAAGGAAAATAATCCTACTTGACTCTTCTGGGGACCTCAAACCCCAATCTAGTTTAAACACATCTAAAGGGGAAACACACAAAGTGTGTATTGTTTCTGCATGAGTCTGTGATAAATAAAAAAATATATGTATATGTTTTAAGAGAGGATTTGATTTAGAAAATCAAAATAAAGTATGATACTTTTCATCACCTGATTGTTGAAGAATCCTTTTAATGAAATTTAGCTTTGTTTCATAACTAATGCAATGATTGTACATGATTAGGTGAACTCCAAAGGAATTTTCACCTAACCAGATACCTGGTAAGAAAGGATATTTGCTTTCAGAAGTATAGTGTTACGAGGAACAAAAAGTATCTGCATATTCTCCATATGGAGGGCTATGGTTGATAGTAGAATCATTAAATTGCCATAAGTACTAGTGATTCCATTCTATGATGGTTTGGGCTATTTGTTAAAGCAAAGTTCCTCCTTTGATTGTGGCCAGCTTGAAGTCTCCCCATAAACTTCATGATTCTGCAGCTGCAGACAGTGTCTGAGCACAGAATATAGGAAAGGCCTTCTCTGCTCACAGAGTTTATATTTGTTTCTCTCTCCTAGGGAATGGATCAGGCTTTTAAGAAATTACTTCTGTGATGAAGAGAGGAAAAGATCCCAGGTAGGTTTTTTATTACTACATGTCATCAAGGAAACAACCAGCTTGGGAATTGCCTCACCAGGTTGCCTGGACATTCCTTAAATCTGTTAGTGACCAGAGAGCTTAGCTTGATATATACATAGGGAGATGATAGATAGACAGATAGATAGATGATAGATAGATAGATAGATAGATAGATAGATAGAACAAAATTTTAAATTATACTTCTGGCTATGATGTGCTCTTATAACCACTTCTAAGAAGCAGCAAGGCAATTTTTAGACACAGCTGCCTAGGAGAGTTGCTAGGGCAAGGCCTGAGTAGGTTAGCAGAAGGGTATTTTTATGCTGCAGTTGTAGCTATGGTATCCACTAGCTGCCTCCAGAGATGGCACTTGGGATTTGCTATCCCCTCACTGGGGAGATTAGAAGGTCCTTGAACTGTTCTTGCCAATTAAAGATATCCAGAAAGAAGCAGTGGGTCATTCTGAGGCTCATGGTTTTCTTTGTCCAGCTAGCTCTTATATGTCACTCATCACAGCTGCCTAAGCTCTTGTGTGGGCCTTTTAAACTAATGCAACTTGTCTTCCTTAGCCTTTCAATAGAATCTACTTCTGCCCCATATTAAATTGATTGTTTTGATAGGGCAGGACAGGGGAGCAAGCTTGGCATTTAATTGTCCAGAGACTTGACAAGCACTGATCCTGTTTTTATTAGTTGGGCATTATCTTGGCTTTACTACATTAAAGGCCAGTCCCATAGGCTTATTTCCAGTACCTTTGGTGACAGAGATAGAGGGAACCTATTACATGCCAAATATGTCTACTGTAAATGTAGCAAAAACAGCTGAGTCATGTAGGGGTGCTGATTTGGCTGCTTTATAGTTTTGAGTCAAAGAAGTTAGTAAGCTAAGTCTCTTGTTTCCTTAATTGGTGCAGACATCCAGTCCTCCTTTGCATCTGCTTCTGGATATTGGAAATGTTGGCCTGGCTTCTGTTTTGTTTTTGTTTTGTTTCCATATACTTTTGCATCGCTTAATACTTTTCACAGTATTTGCCAGGATTTCAATGCTAAAAATATATATCATGCCAGACAGAGTCTAGTGGCAGAAGAAGAGGGAAATGAAATAAAACAGAAAAAAAAAATCAAGAGAAAGAACTATTTTGGCAGAAATTTTGTACAGTTTCCTTTCTCCATGATGTAGATTCTTTACCCAAGGAATTTCCACCACCTTGTGTGAACAGAGAGCGAACAGAGAACATGTAGGAGCAGGTGGCCAGCAGCCCTGGGACGGGGTGGGGGACAGAAACTCAGCACCTGACTGAGGTAAGGAGGATTTCCTAATGCAAAAACTTGGAAGTAATCTTATCCCCGTGAGCTAAGATTTATTTAATGCTTGTAGCTTTTCCCGAGTAGCTCCAAATCATGCATTATTGGGTGGTTATTTATTTTAATATTCTCTGTCAATGGTTTTCTTACTGAGAGACAATTTACCAGTGTTTGATTTTGATAGTGGAATATTTGGGGACGAAAGAACAAATAAACTCTGCCTCATTTAGAGCTTTTTGTGCAAACAAATGGCTTAACATTTTCAATCTTTCACGTTATGTCTCCACCATGCAAGTGCCTTGAACAACCATGGGTATAGCAGGGGAAAAAATGTACTATCTGAGGGTTCTCCAGTTAGATCCCCAGCATAACTGGGCCACTTGAAATCTTGGAAATATCTTTAAGGAAGCAGAATATCAAGAAGCATTGTAACTTAAAACACTGTTTTAGGTACCCTGCATTGGTGTCTTCCTAAGGCAGAGTAGTTAGACTTTTCAAGCTTTAGGAGGATGTAATCTCCATCTGAATTAATTCTTTCCTGTGTCAGTCAACAATAACATTTCTCAAAGTCTGTTCCTGAAAGTATTAGTTCTGAGAGATATCCATGACTGTTCTTAAATGGGCAAGGTGGGAACGGGGAGTTGCCTGGTCAAATAAATTCAGGAAGCAAAGGCTTAGGCAAAGGTAAATGATTATTGCAGGAGCCTTTAATATGCTAAGAACCCTGTGAAACTTTAAAAAAAAGAAATACGGACACAATTGCCCAAGGGATGGTTTTTAGGAGATAAGCATTTCTTAAGACAAACATTCCAAAACATGTAATTTGGGGAGAAACATTCAGGATTATAATTCAGTTATCATGCCCAGTTTATGCTACAAATAAGAAACACCTTGAGCTGGGATTAGTAATGGTGACCTTGGTTCCTATGAATAGTATTTGGTTTTTGCTTACATCTATGTTATGAGGTGATAATGTAATTAAGCCATTGAAGACTGAATTAGAACTGGGTGAATCTTGTGTTTTTATTGATATAAACCTTAGACATGGGGGTGATGTGTTGTGATGGTAGCGTCAATGATAGTGTTTTTACTTCCAAACTAGTCAGAATGAAAACAATAATAACAAAAATTAGAAACACTTTTTAAAAAACGGACTCAAAGAAAAGCAAGCAGTGAAATATTTTGTATATGTCTTTTGAGAAGCTGAGAAGTCACACACAAATAATGAAATAGCTTCTGTATTTATAAACTTCTAGAGGACAAATAATACACTTATTCATGTTTGTACATCTTTAGCATGTATTTACTAGATAATTGATGATGCTTTTAAATGAATGAAAACAACTCATCAGAAATTCAGCCTTCATACATCATGCTATTGGAATGTCCTGCTTTATCTACAAGGATAAAAAATTAAAACCTTTCTCTATATTTTTAGTTTAAAACTTTAGGAATAAAAATATTTTCAAGTGTTTTCTCTTAAAATTTGAAATAGTATAAACTAATTTTGATGAGGCAATAAGACTTACTTTTTGTTCGTAAATATTTTTGTCCCATCACAATGAGTAATTATTCTATAAATTCTGGTTATTCTAAGCAGACATAATCTTTTCTCATTCCTTTTTGTAAAGTCATGGTTGCCAGCTGAGTATACACGTACAATGATTGACATGACGCCTTTAGTTTTGTCTTCCATTAATGCTTTGTCAAGGGCTCTCTCCAGATGGCCCTTAAAGTTAATGGGTTGCTTGTGTTCCTCCAGCCTTTCCATAACAAAACTGATTCATTTGCCTTGGTAACTGAAAGTATAATGCATCTGCCTGTTTACCCCCTGAATCTTAGGATCATATTCATAGGGAGACTTGTGCTTGTGTGTGTGTGTGTGTGTGTGTGTGTGTGTGTGTGTGTGCGTGCACGTGCACACATGCACACACTCATCTTTTTCTTTAGTCCCATTAAACAAAAGCATTGGTGTTTGTCAGTTATGGAATAATTTTAATATAGTGTATGGTGATAACATCCATCAGGGGTGTGAAGTAATTTGTATCTTCAAAAATGGCCTTAGATCTCATGATGGAATACAAAATAAAGGGGACACACAACACAAAAAATAACTGCTATTATTGTACTACTAAATAAGGTTTAAAAAGTATAAATCAGTAAAAAAAATTAAAGCTTCATTTGAAAACTAGGTACTATTTGATAGAAACAGAGAAAGATAAACATTGAGGATAATTGAAAGAGTACACAGTGAGTCAGAACTATCATTTTAGTACCAAGAAGTTCTGTATGAAAATGAAAGGAAATCCAAAGATGAGAGAAGAATGAGTATAGTTATTATAGTATTTATTTAGAATACAGGACTATATGAAGCTTATTATTTTATCCTACTGTGTTTTGATTTTATGGCCACTTATTTCTTCATGTGTAGTTATAAAGACTCATTTTTTGAAGTTATCGCTTCTCAATATGTTCTACCTAAAGCCCAAATAACAGAAGACCTGGAAAAACTCCTTTTTATACTTTTTTGGGTCCTTGGATAGTGTAATACAATGAAATAAAATCATTTCAAGTATCATGTAGATGTGTATTATTTTTTTCTTGGCTAATTCTTTTCAAGAAAGCCAGCTTTAACGGCCTGGCTACATTTTGTTCTTATGAAAGATACACTGCAATTATGTTATAACATTGTGCTGAATGTGGTTCCACACAAGAAGGATGGCAGAAATTCTTTTAAATTTCATTTTGCCAAGACCTAAGGAAGAGATCGATGCTATAATCTTTCCTTTTCGATTCACATAAATTGCCAGTAACTGTTTTCTTGAATTAATATATATCAGTTCAATTTAGAAAAAAAAATATTTTGAGGGATGAAAATGGTTCCTTTTTACAGTAAAAGGGTTCAAGAAACACCAACTTAGAAGTTCTTTTCTCTAAGTCCACTGCAGTAAAGTCAACTCTTGCTGACAATCCCAGATAATGACCATGGCTTACATTTATGTAGTACTTTGCAATTTTCAAAGTGTGTTCTTGTCATTATTTCATGAGAACTCATATTAAGTGTGCAAAATAGGCCAGGATGAAGAGAAACCAAGGTCCTGAGATATGAAGTGACTTGTAGAAGATCACACCAGAAGATATTTGCAAATGATATATGTGATAAAGGGTTAGTATCCAAAATCTATGAAAACCTTATTAAACTCAACACCCAAAAAACAAATAATCCAATTTAAAATGGGCAGACGGCATGATCAGACATTTCTCCAAAGAAGACATACATGAAAAGATGCTCAACGTCACTCACCATCAGAGAAATACAAATCAATACTACGATGAGATACCACCTCACACCTGTCAGAATGGCTAAAATTAACAACACAGGGAACAACAGATGGTGGTGAGGATATGGAGGAAGGGGAACCCTTTTACACTGTTGGTGGGAATGCAAACTAGTGCAGCCACTCTGGAAAACAGTGTGAAGTTTTCTTAAAAAGTTAAAAGTAGATGGGGTACCTCGGTGACTCAGTCAGTTAAATGTCTGACTCTTGATTTCGGCTCAGGTCGTGATCTCATGGTTCATGACACTGAGCCCTGCATCAGGTTCTGTGCTGACAGTGCAGAACCTGCTTGGGATTGTCTCTCTCTCCTTGTCTCTCTGCCTCTTCCACACATACTCTCTCTCTTTCTCTCTCTCAAAAAAGGTAAATGTAGAACTACCCTACAACCCAGCAATTGCACTACTAGGTTATTACCCACAGGATACAAAAATACAGATTTGAAGGAGTACAGTCACCCCAATGTTTATAGCAGCACTATTGACAATAGCCAAACTATGGAAAGAGCCCAAATATCCATCAACTGATGAATGGATAAAGAAGGTGTTTATTACTCAGGAATATTAGTCATCAAAAAGAATGAAATCTTGCCATTTGCAATGTTGTGAATGGAGCTAGAGTATATTATGCTAACTAAGCAAAATAAGTCAGTCAAAGAAAGACAAATACCATATGATTTCACTCTTATGTGGAATTTAAGAAACAAAACAGATGAACATAGAGGATGGGGGGAAAAAGAGAGGTAAGCAAACCATAACAGAATATTAACTATAGAGTACTAACTGAGGGTTGATAGAAGGAGGTGGGTAGGGGATGAACTAAATGGGTGATGGGTGTTAAGGAAAGCACTTGTGATGAGCACTGGGTGTTATATGTAAGTGATGAATCACTGAATTCTACATCTAAAACCAATTTTACTGTGTATGTTAACTCACTAGAATTTAAATAAAAGCTTGAAAAAAAAAAGATCATACAACTAATGAATGACAGTACTTGGTTGGATTGTCACCCTGGTTTACACTCTCAGGTGTGTGTGGGTGTGGGTGTGGGTGTGGGTGTGGGTGTGGGTGTGGGTGTTTCATAAACAGAATCATTGATAATATGGTTCAGCAGTTTAGAATAATTATAATAGTTAACATCTGTATAATGCTTTTCACTTTACTGAATTATTTCATGTCCTTTACCTTACTTAAGTTTTATGGCAACTTTAGCTGTATCTATTTTTATCATCTGCATCCCCATTTTACAGATGAGGCAGCCAAGGCTCAGAGATCTCATGTGACCTTGGCTCTGGCAGATCCTGAACTGAGGTTTTGACCAGTCTGGAAGGTCTAAAAATGAGGGAATATCAGAACATTCCATTCCTGTAGTAACAGTGCTGTAGTGCTGGAACACATTTTATTTGGATCTTTGCAATTACATGACAATTTACTATGAATCTTTTCAGGGTGAAAGAATTCTCTGAATGCCATGTGAATACTCTGACTTCTTCAGCAAACACTTAGGTTCTTCCATGAACCTAGAAGGAAATCAGCCAAGATTCTGTATAGCATAGTGCCAATATGAGAGATTCATAAAGAATAGCTTTCATATTGTTATTCTTGATTTATATTATTTACGACTGGCTTTCTTTAGAATTAAGCACTCTTAGATTGC